AGGGTGTTTTTCCTTTAATCTGTTAGTATGATGAATGACACAGATTGTCCAATATTAAATCATCCATTCTTTGAATATAAACATACCTTTATCGTCAAGTTGTATTGATATATTTGAACAAATTGCTAGATTAACCATACTAAAATTTTATATTAAATTGTTACCTGAGATTCATACCTGACAGTGATCATATCTAAGATTGTAGTACTATCTTCCTTCTCAAATTGTCCTTGTCTGTCTTGTTTTGAATACAAACAAGGTTATTTTAGCCTTATAAAATGAACAGGGGAGCCTTATTTCCTGCTGTTATCCATTTTGGCTCTTGAACAGTTATATAATACAGAGGTTATCTGTTTCTTATTTATAATTGGTGGAACTTACTTTTAAATCACCTTTGCTTTGGTGAGGTTTTGTTTTGTTCTGTTTTATTTTGTTTGTTCCAGGTAGATTTTATTCTATTGATTCAAATTTTTTAATGGTTATAGGTCTCTTTGGTTTTCTATTTCTTCCTGAGTCAGTTTTGGTAAGTTATATTTTTTCTATGAAAATTATCTATTTTCTCTGAGTTGTCAATTTTACTGGTATAAAGTCATTCAGATTACACTCTTTCTAATTTAAAAATCTCTGTTATATGTGTAGTTTTGTCCTTTTTTCATTCATCATGTTATTTATCCTTTACTTTTACTTCATAAATTTTAATATAGAACATTTTACTATTTTTCACTTCTAAAAGTTTTCCAACTTTAGTTAGAACTCTTCTGTGGACCATTAATTATTTAGATGTATTTCTTTTAATATTAATAGTATTATGTTTATTTATTTATTTGGTTATTTATAGAAAGTTATTTTTTACTGGAGAAAGTTATTTTTTACTCTTAGTTACCAGTTTTTTGGCATTTTTCAAGATTGCCTTTTAATTTTATAACAGGCCAATTTTTATAACTGTTACATGTTTATTTGAAAATAATATACTTTTTCTGACTTTTGGGTGCAGGTTTCTATACATGCCTATTTGATTAAAGTTGTTAACTTTGTTGTTCAGATTTTTAATATTCTTACCAGTTTTATTTCCTTCTAATCTATTTATTTAAAAATCCTTATTATAATGTTGAATTTATTAATTTTTCCCTGTAATTATCAATGTTTTCACAACTCTTCTATAACTGTGTTGTTAGGTACATATACAAAATTGCTCTTCCAGGGTCTTTTCTTTTATAATTAGGTTAATAAATTTTTTAAAATCCTAATAATATCTTGGCTTTAGAATATAGTTTGATTGATATTAATTTAGCTACCTTAACTTTCTTTTGGTTAACATATGCTTGGTGTGTCTTTTCTATCCCTTTATTTTTAACCTTTATGTGACTTTATGTTTAGGTGTATTAGAAAGATTATTGCTGATTTTTTTTTAATTGTTCATTTTGGTTTTATTTGTCATCTGGTGTGATAATGCTGTCTTTTGATAGGTGAATTTAATCCATTGATGAATTTCATGGTTATCAGTGTATTTGTATTTATTTTTAGTGTTTTGTCTTGTTCTATTTACTATAGGATTTGCTTGTTTGTTAAACGAGTGCTTTTTCTTTTTCCTTCTATTCTTCCCTACCTTCTGTTGGCTTGGTCAAATTTAGTTTTATTTCTTTTTTATCCTGTGGAAGGTAAATATTCTATTTCAAATATTTAAATATTTATTTTTAAAGTTTTAACATTTGTTGTTTACCTAAAGTCTAGAGTCAATTTCTCCACCATACTCCTAATCAAGAAAAAAAACTTAGTTTATCTTATACTATATACAAAAATTAAAAATGGATCAAAGACCTAAATGTAAGAGCTAAAACTATAAAACTCTTGGAAGAAAACATAGTAGGAATGGGGAGAAGTTTTATGACATTAGATTTGGCAATGATTTCTTGGATATGACACCAAACAACAGGCAACAGGAGAAAAAATAGATAAATTGGGCTATATTATCATTAAAATTTTCTGTGCATCAAAGGACACAGTTACCTTAGTGAAAAGGCAGCCTATGGAATGGGAGAAAATAGTTGCAGATCATATGTCTGATAAGAGGTTAATATCCAGACTATATAAAGAACTCCTACAACTCAATAACAAACTAAAAACGCAATTCAAAATGAGCAAAGGACTTGAATGAACAGACATTTCTCCTGAGAAGATACACAAATGACCAATAAGCACATGACAAGATGCTCAACCTCTTTAGTCATTAGGGAAATGTAAATCAAAACTGTAATGAGATACTACCTCACACTCATTAGGATGGCTGCTATAAAAAAACAACAAGTTTTGACAAAGATGTGGGAAAATTGGAATCCTTCTGCACTGTTGTTAGACACGTAGAATGCTGTAGCCACCTAGGAAAACGGTTCTTCAAAAAGCTAAAAATAAAGTTATTGTATGATCCAGCAGTTCCACTTCTGAATATATACTCCACAGAATAGAAAGCAGGGTGTCAAAGTTATTTATTCATCCATATTCATAGCATCCTTATTCATAATAGCTAAGGGATGTCAGCAACCTGGGTGTCCACCAGCAGATGAATGGATAAAGACAATGTGCTATATAAGTACAATGGAATACTCTTCAGCCTTAAAATTGATACATGCTACAATATGGATAAACCTTGAAAACACTATGTGAAGTGATACAAGCCAGACACAAAAGAATAAATATTGTGTGATTTCACTTACATGAACTACCTAGAGTAGTCAAATTCATAGAAAATACAGTGATGGTTGTCAGGGCCTAGAATAAGGGGGGAATAGAGGAGTTACTGTTTAATGGGTATAGATTTCTAGTTTTTCAAGATGAAAAGGGTTTTAGAGATGGATGATAGTGATGTTTGTACAACAATGTAAATGTTGATGTTAGTGACACTAAACTGTGCACTTAGAAATAGTTATGATGGTAAATTTTATATTATGGGTACTTTGCCACAATTAAAAATAATAATTAAAAAGTAAATAAAAAAATAAAAATTAGAAAACCAAGAAAACAACATTTTAATCCTAATTGCTCTCAGTAGCATGTTGTTTTCTAATATTTTAGTTCCATCTTATTTTTCAACTTTCAAGTAGTTGTTCTCCTCTATTTCATTATTCTCTTGCTCCTCCTCCCCTTCCTCTTAGTCTTTGTTGTCCTCTTTCTCCTTCTCTTCATCATTATTTTTATCTGATAATGACCATTTAGATGTATGTTAAAGTTTATTAATACCTTTGTTCTCAATTGCTTCCAGTGTCACATTCTTCCATATTTCTGAAGCATATCCTTTAGTACTTCTGTTTAATTGAAAAGGTCTATTTGTGGTAATTCACTCAGTTTTTATATGAACCTTTATTTAACCCTCATTCTTATAATTTAGGCAGGTAGGGAATATAATATTGACAATTATTTTGTCTCATCACTTTAAAGATACAGCTTCATTTTCTTCTGACAGTTCCATTTTCTTCTGACTGCTATGTTAGTATTAATAATTCAGCTATCAGTTTAATTGTCATTCCTTGGTAGATAATCTCTGTTTCCTAATATTTTTAAGCTCTCTTCCCTTTGGTGCTCTGCAGTCTAACTACAGTGTGTATTGAAGTGGATCTGATCTTTTTAATATCTTTTATTTCAGTGTTTTTTATTCAAATGACTAGTTTTTTTCCTATTTCTAGGACTTATATTTAATTTTTTCCTCTTTTTGTTACATTTTTGTCTTTTAAAATGTCTTTAATAATTCTAAACATACTAATTTCATGAAGCTGAACTGATCATTGTTACAGGTCTAATTGTAATGTTCGGATTTCTGACTTTTGCTCATAGTGGAATGTTTCCTCATTTTGTTTATATTGTTGAAGTGTAAGCTAATCTTCAGTGGGCTTCTTATATGCGAGAATTATATGTGGCCAAATTTGAGCATGTGTCCTCCAAAGTAGTTTTGAGTTTGTTAATTATGCCAGGTTTTCTAGGGGCATCCAACCTGATACCAACATTTTTGCAAGTTTCTTGGCTTGAGACCTTCTGGATCACAGAAACCCTATGAGTTAGAATCCTGAATTGTGGTACTATGTGACCTAAATTATGAATTTCTAAAGGAGGAATTTTTCTTCACATATCAGCCACAATCAAGATAGACAAGATGTCTTTTTTTTTTCCCTCAGTTCACTGGCAAGTTTTTATAATTCACCTTTTCACTTACAGTATACACTTTAGGGTAAAGGTTATATGGGGCAGCTTCTTGCTTCAAACCTCATGTAAGCTCAGGGTCTTTCCTTTTGTCCTTATGTATTTGTTAAAATCCAAGTATCTAGAAAATAAAAGCCAGTAATTCTCCAACCCGACTCCTACTCTAATGCTTATCACCTGTCCTCAATCATTTCTTGATTACTGGCCCCTAAGAACATCTCGTTTTTAAAAGCTCATTTTTATGTTTATAAAATTGATTGTTATATTTTATCTAGTATTTTGAAAAGTTTGTAGTAGAAGAATTTTCAAGTTTCAAGTAGTTTGCAGGAACCTTGTTAACATTTATTTCCTTAGGTTTTCATCAGGGTGTTCTAAAATAATCTCTAGGCTGCGCTTAGTATTAGCCATGTGTTTTTCTGTTTCTTTCCCCTAGTTGTAAAATTTCTATAGTTCCATCTTTTATAAGTAAATATTGGACAGATAGTATCAGTAATAAGAATGTTCTAAACTAAATATTCAATTTGTGGTTAGTGGCTGTGGTGTTCAAATCATATTTTCACTCTGAATGTAGTCAGTTAAGTAACAGCTATAATAAATGTTCAATAGTGCTATGAAATCTGAAGAACTGTTGGTGTGGTAGTTATATAAATTTTAACTTATATGTTCAAGGAGATTAAAGTCAGATAATGACAAAGTTATAGTTGTTATAAAATAATACTGTGTTTCTAAGTAAATGTAAACATTTCTGATTAAAATTATTTTTTGTTTCTAATGTATTAATAGTAGATTACTAAAAATGTGAACTTCTTCAGGTCCAGTCCTCAGTGGCTGTTGGAACTCCAGATTATATCTCTCCTGAAATCCTTCAAGCCATGGAAGATGGAAAAGGCAGATATGGACCTGAGTGTGACTGGTGGTCTTTGGGGGTCTGTATGTATGAAATGCTTTATGGAGAAACACCATTTTACGCAGAATCTCTGGTGGAAACATATGGAAAAATCATGAATCACAAAGTTAGTACATTTTACTAATTATCAAATTAATGTGATAGATATAATAAATTTGAAGTACTGTGATATTTAAAAGGAAAATAGTTTTCTAAATCAGTAAAGAATCTAATTTCTGTACTAATAGGGGACATAACAAACATAAGTAATCAAAATCCATAAATTATGCATAAAATCATTCTTACCTTCTGTATTTTATTAGAGATGCTAGTAAGTAGAAAATTAAATGGCCACTCTAGGAGGTTAACAAAGATCATAAGCAGACAATTTATATCATTACTACTACAGTGTAAGTATAATCATGACTAGAATGCATTTTAAAAATTCTCAGTGTTAGTAGTAATAAATGAAATGCAAATTAAAATAAAAATGAGATACTTATTTTTCCCCTGTCAAATTGGTAAAGATGAAAAGAAAAATAGTACTCTTTTCTGTGAATAATCCAGTGAAGCGGACATTGTTAGACATTGTTGACAGGAATGTAAGCTGATGTACTCTTTCTGTCCAAAAGTTTGTAAGTATGCATCTAGTGCCTTAAACAATGATTAAAACTTTTCACTGAGCAACTTCAGTTCTAGGAATCTACCCTAAGAAAATATTTGTAGAACAAAAATATATGTATAAGGATATCTATTTCAGTATAATTTATGATCATAAAGCATTGGAAACAATCCAGATGCACAACAGAAATGAATTAATAAAACTAATGCTTTTAGTACCATGGGAAATAGGTTGTTTGTATAAGAGGAATTTTCTGATTATTAGCCTCAGAAGATTGTGAGCAATTGCAAAAACCTAGGCTATGAATAGGAATATCCCATAAAGGGAGTGACGGTCTATTCTTGATAATTTGTTCTGACGATACCATTATGATTAGTTGCTTCACATATATATAAATTGATTTTATAGAGTTGATGCTTTTCTACCTGCTGCAAAGATAATCTTCTAAAAAGTTTTGAAGGGTTAAAAGACAAGAAATACCTACAAAGTTGTAAATAGCATGTAAAGCATTTCAGATAGAAATTGTTATATCATAACATGGTTGTTAAGAGCGCAGGTTCTGGAGTCAGACAGCTTCAGTTCAAATCCCATCTCTACTGTTTATTAGTTCTATGACCTTGAGCAAATTGCTTGAACTCTCTGTTTCTTTGTTTCCTCGTCTGTAAAATTAGAGTAGTAGGAATACCTACCTTAGACAGTTGCTGTGAGGATTAAATGAGTTAAATAAGTAAAGCACTTCTAATGGTGTCAAGTACATATTACATTCTCTAAAAATTCAGTATTATTAATCATTAGTATATGACTTATATAAACATTATTAGTCATCTACACTATTGAAAAATTGAGTCAAGTTGTCTACTACATTTAATGAATTATTTTCATTCTGACAGCATTTAAGGTATTTTAGCATTTATTCTTTCTATAGTACATGTATGACTATGTCGCAAATGAAATTAAAAGTTCTTTTAGGAAATGATCCTTTTTTATTTATCTGTATATCACTTTAGTATCAGTACTTTGTACCAGTATGTACTTACTAGATATTTTTAAAAGGAAATCTATTTTTAAGAAAATAAATGTCAACATCAACCTACTTAATAAATTAAATATTGATTTATATTTTGTTTCTATTATTCTCCATTTAGGAGAGGTTTCAGTTTCCAGCTCAAGTGACTGATGTGTCTGAGAATGCTAAGGATCTTATTCGAAGGCTCATTTGTAGCAGAGAACATCGACTTGGTCAAAATGGGATAGAAGACTTTAAGAAACATCCATTTTTCAGTGGAATTGATTGGGATAATATTAGAAACTGTGAAGCACCTTATATTCCAGAAGTTAGTAGCCCAACAGATACATCGAATTTTGATGTGGATGATGATTGTTTAAAGAATTCTGTGAGTATGACACTGTAAAGAAGATTTGTCTCTCTCTTGTTAATGTGGTTATAAAAGAATTTTATAGACCACTTTATCAATTATCAGTCACGATGGCTTCTAGTATTTATTCTGTCTAAATCAGGAAATTCAGAGAGTTAACTGAAGTGAACACAGTTATTCATGGCTAGGAGTAAAATTAAAATTCAGAGATTTACTTCTTAGATTAGTTTTGCCATTAGGTTTCCCAAGGAAAGGACAAATTAGATGCTTAAAAAAGTGGACTTCATGATGGCAAAATGAAGACATTGGCCAATCTTTCCTTAAAAACCAGCATGAAACTGGCCAAAATTATCAAAAACAACCATTTCAGGGCTTGACAAATCAGCCCAAGGTAAATAAGTGGAGAAGCACTTACTCATGAAAAACTGCTGAACTTTGGTTAAAAACAGCCCTCCCATCCCTTCCTTCAGCTTGGTTGGGACAGTAGAACTGCTTGCATGGAGCTGCTTATAAAAACCAGCAGCTTTGCTGCCAGAGGGAGCTGACTTGATTGGAGAGCTGAATACCCATGTCCAGTGGTGTTGTCACCAAAAATAGCAAACTCTGTAGGAAATGAATGGGGAGAGAAAATCTATAGCCTTACTAGCCTGAAGTTATAGCCTGTTTGAGGCAAGTGGCTGACCAGTGGATTAGCCAAATAGTCATCCCTTTTTGGTTTGTGGGCCACACTAAAACAGGCCAGCATAGTTTGTGAACTTCTGCTTTAAACCAGTAGGTTATATTAAATTAAAATTTAAGAAAATAAGAACTTAAAATTCTGTTTTTTGCCTTTTTAGCCTTCTTATTTTGAACTTTGTTTTTATTCAGTTGTTTTATTTCTAATGGCTTTAATTCTGTACTGAAAATTTTAATGTTAATTTTATATCACTTCTCAGTGTTCAGTAAGTACCATATTCAAGACATAAGAACTCTTACACTTTTCCTCTTTGAACTTCACAAGAAAAAATTAAATGGATTTTCCTCATCAGTTTTTTACTACAAGAATTGAATTTACTGTTAACAAATCATGAGTCGTTCCAAATAAATACGTAGTATAGTCAGTTCTGACTATTTGCTGTAGTTATGTTCAGTAAAGTTGCCAGGAACACTTGTTAGTGAATCATGAAATGTTGCTCCTCAAGGAAATACAGGGTTAGGTTCCTATGAGCCTCCGGTTACGACATTCTCATCAACCAATCAATACAGTACATCAACCAAATAATACCTTGTTTTTTGTGTGTTTCTATTTAAAGACACCTTACTTAATTATATATTGTCAATTAATGACATCAGACTCATGGCCAGCAGTACTGTAATTCATTCTGGAATGAAGCTTATCTAATACACATTTTTTTGTAAGGCATATCACAGCGTTCTTGCTTGGGAACGGTAGATGTCATTTCAGCACTACTCTTAGAGGCCATTTTAAACAGCAAAATTACCTGTAAAAAAGCATGAAAATGAGAAAAATGTAGACCTTGGGAAAAAATACTTCTTTACAGTATGAAAAACAAGAAGACAGAGCATCTCCTTGTTCAGCCCCAGCTGGGAACATGTGTAGGGTGACTCAGATTTTTCTTTGCTCTGCAAGTGTCTACAAATGACTACAAAACTACTGGTGAATATTGATTTTAGGTTAGAGATACATTTTAGCGATTAAACAAATTTGTAAATATGGAATACACAAATAATGATTGTACTCTCTATGTCCATTAGACTTGAAATTTTTCTTTTCATTTTATTAGCATTCTACAATAGCAGTGTTTATGGTCTAAGTTTTATATCACTAAATGTCTATACCAAACTTACCAGTGTTTCTAAATTGATGAGTCACATATTTGCTGTTGACAGTTAATATTTAGAGCACAACCTACAGTTCATAGTTATATATTTCTTACCAGACCTTTTTTCTTCCTTTAGGAAACAATGCCCCCGCCAACACATACTGCATTTTCTGGCCACCATCTGCCATTTGTTGGTTTTACATATACTAGTAGCTGGTAAGTTTGAAAAGTTAATATGATTTGGAAAATTTAGGGCAAAGTAAAATGAATTGAGGTTTTTTAAAAAATACAATGTATAAGAGAGCCTTGTAAATTAAAATTTTTAAAAAATAGAGTGAAGCTACTTCTGGAAAAAGTTAGACATTGCAAAATGAATAAAACATATAAGAATCTTAACTCATTTTGGAGGAGTAAGAGTAGGACAGATAGCTCAGAATCTGTTAGCAGTGGGGCAGGAATTAGGAGGGTCCTGTGCTATTGAATAAACACTTTCTAGTTGTCAAGCATCAGAACTTTCAACGCATTAAACTTAACCATCTTTTCACTGACCCTCATTCCACTCATATCTTCTCTTTCCTCTTTATCTTTCCTTAAATTATGCTGAAATTGATTATTAATCAGTCCCTGTATGTGCCTCGATTCCCTGACTGTCTCTCATTCTGTAACACTGGTTTTGCTAAGGTGGCGTTTGTTATTACAGTTCAATTTTCTGCCTGTACCTGTGCAGTTGAAAGTGTCTAGATGAAAATATCTGACTATTCTAACTGGTCTCACTTTAAGTTCATGATTACCAACCTTAAGTGCTCCTTATTGCTGCCTGGCTGTAGTGTAGTCTCTCCTCCACTCTCCTAGATGACTATTTCATGCTTTATACTTTCCTCTGCAACCCGTGTCCTCCTTACTCTTACTTGATTATCTCACTTCCTCTTCAGAGAGAGGTTGAAGCGATCAGCAGACAACTTCCACAAGCTCCCATCACCCCATTTACCACCTACGTACGTCTGGACCCATATACTCTTCTTTTTATGGGTGACTGATGTGAGCCCCCTAGCTAAGACCCATCCCCTCTGTCTCATCTTGCCTACTCTACTGCGTTGCTGTTACATCATGAATTTTTCCTCTTCTGTGTCATATGCATAACAGATTATTCCCATTAGCTCACAAACATGCAGTTTTTTCTTCCATCTTAGAGCAAAATGTAAAAGCTCTTAATCCAGCTTTCTTTACCTGCTACCAAATTATTTCTCTGGCCCTATATTATAGCATAATTACTTCAAACTGTGCTCTATGTTTTATCCATTTTTCTCATACTCTTCTATCTTGGCACCACTCCAGTCAGGTTTTTGCTCCCATCACATCATGCAAACAGCTTTTATTGACGTCACCACTGGCCTCCCATGCTGCTACATTTAACAGTCGTTTCTCAGTCCTAGTCTTACTCATTTGCCTAGTCTCATCGCATTTATCATGGCTCCTTCCTATTAAAACACTTGCTTTTAACTAAATTGTACTGAATTAAAGAAAGCATTTTACTTTTTTTTAATTGAAGTACAGTTGATATACAGTATTATATAAGTTACAGGTGTATAATATAGTGATTCACAATTTTTAAAGGTTGTACTCCATTTATAGTTATTATAAAATATTTGCTGTATTCCCTGTGTTGTGCAGTATATCCTTGTAGCTCATGAAAACATTCCACTTTTGAATTCCAAAGAGGACCATGGTTGGTGCTTTTGACTACTGTTTCACTTGAGTGGACACATTGTTTTAAATTACCAGTAACCCTTCAGCAGACTTCATTTTATAATTGTGGTTATTAAATTCAAGATAATTTGGGCTATTTAAATTTTCATTTTTTAAAATGCTTCTAAATAGTCATTTATGGTGATTTTTAAAAATAATGTGTTTTCTGATCATTCCAGGTGGCTAGCTATAACTAGATGTTCAAATCCATGTTCTAAATAATTTTAAAAAGTTATCCTTTCTCTTTGAACTAATTATTTCAGTGTAAACCCACATTTTCTTCCTTTTCTTTAGTGTTCTTTCTGATCGGAGCTGTTTAAGAGTTGCAGCTGGTCCCACTTCATTGGATCTTGATGTTAATGTTCAGAGGACTCTAGATAACAACTTAGCAACCGAAGCTTATGAAAGAAGAATTAAGCGCCTTGAACAGGAAAAACTTGAACTTAGTAGAAAGCTTCAGGGTAAGTATATCTTAAAGATAATGTTTTTCTTTTTTGAATTGGACTCCCAGTATTAGAAACGATTTATTATAAGTACTTGGTTTATCTCAAAAAGAAGTTTTTTTTTTATTAAGTGGAAAAAAGCAAGTTACAGACATTTATGCAGAATACAATATAATACCATTTATGTAAAATCACAAAATTAACAGTTAGCTACAAAATAGCATTTGTTTCTCACAGGTATGTACGTGTGTAGATAAGTGTGAGGGAATAAATACCTCTGAGGAGAGGAGAATGGGACCACTAAGAAAAATAGAACCCTTCTCATCCTAGTGTAACACTTTATATGACTCCCTACCATGACTCCTCCATTGTTATAAGTTCTAGTAGCTTCTAGCAAACTTGTCATTCTCTACAGCGTCACTCCTGTTGCAATGTTTGGTGATTTAAAAGAGCACTTTGGTGAACCTTTTAATATTCTGACTTCTTGTTCTCTTGAATCTTCACTTTCACTCTCCACCCTACCTCATCCACTCCTTCTGGTGGTAGTATGATATATCTTGAGATTACAGTATCTAAAATTCTTTATTAATCTCAATTTCAAGCAAACCCTTCATATCCTCCAGCTCATAACTTTCTGGTTAACTTCCTCTGGTGTCTTAACTGCAATATTCCTTCAATTCCACCATCACCTACAGTTCTGTCACCCATTCACTGTTCCTCTTATGCTCTCAGTTCTCATTGTAGTCAGTCAGGGTCATCAGACCCTTACATTTACTCTCAGATCTGTTGCTCCCCTTTGTGTTGGTCCAACTCCTTTATCATAACCCCAAGCTTGTTTAAATACATTGCACCTCTAATTGTGTGGCTGAAAGTAACTTACTTAAAACACACAACATGCCAACTAATTCCACTTTAAATTCATGAACACTAATGTCAGATTGACTGAGATCTTAATGTTGCCCCGCAGTCCTACTTTTTTCCTTAACTCATTTCCTGCCCTGTCTTGCAAAATCCAATGATCATTTCCCAGTCTCTATCTTTTAACCTATCAGAATTTGACCCAGTTGATCACACATCCCCCTCCTGATAGCTCTTCTTCTTTTGGCTTCTGGGACACTTTAATCTCCTGGTTTTCCTTTTTCTCATAACCCAGTTTATTCTGTGTACTGATTTCTCCTAAACTCTTAGACCTTTGACTGTTAGAGTACTCCAGAGTACTCCATACGTTTAGTTACTTAGAACTAAAACCTTACAGTTAGTCATCTTTAAACCTTCTCATTCTCACATCTGATCCATCAGCAAAGCAGGTCAACTCTGCCATCACAAACTATTTGAAATCTTATTATCAGTCACTGTCTGTTATCCCCCTGTTTCAAGTCACCATCAACTCTCACCTGTATCCTTGCAGTAGCTTCCTAACTGATTTCCCTGCCTTGCCTCACCACCCTACCCAACTCCCACCTTCCTACAGTTGTGTTCAACTTAACAACCAAGTAATTCTGTTAAAACACAGTTTAGATCATTTTACTTCACTGTCTCATCCCCACCCCCAATGGCTTTCCATCTCACTCATATTAAAGCCAAACTCATTTCAGTGGCTGAGGGCCATATATGAACTGGCTTCTTATTACCTTTCTGACTTAATTCCCTACTGCTCTCTCCCTTGTTCTTCCTGTTTTAGTCACCCTTGGATCTTCGGTTGCTCTTTCCACAAACAGGCGCATCTCCACCTCAGGGCCTTTGCATTAGCTTTTGCCCTACCTTTAATATTCTTCCTTTGATACTCACATGACTCATTCTCTTACCTCTTTCAGGTCTCTACTTCAGTGTTACCATTCAATGAGGTCTTTCCTACTCACTCTATTTAAAATTTAATCTTGCTTAACCCCTGATACTCATTATCCACTTTCTTGCTTTATTTTTCTCCAAAATAAAGAATGTTATACACAATGTACTTTACTTACTCATTTTGTGAATGAAGGAATGTATCTATAATCAAGACACAGAACTCTTAAGAGAGAAAAAAATCAAAGCTTTACCATTATAAAATTGTGCTATTATACTTTTAGAGGCTCAGTATAGAAAAAGGCTGTATTCAACAAAGCAGACTGTTTCCTGTTTTTTTCAATAAATTGTTAAAATCTCTGCATGTGAATTATTCCCTTTTTGTGATGCACTTTTTTGATTTTTCAATTAAGTATATTTGACATATAACATAAATTTAAGGTGTACAACTTGTTAATTTGATACATTTATATATTGTTACATGGCTGCTGTTGTAGTGATATTTAGAACCTCTATCATATGTTACATAATTATAGTACAATATTGTTGTTTATATTCATTATATTGTATGTTTGATGTCTAGGGCTTATTTACTACTCATTGCAAGATTGTACCCTTAAACAACATCAGTCTTATCCCCCCACCTCCCATCCCCTTGTAACCACCATTTACTTTATTTTTTATAAGTTTGACTTTTTAGAAAACACTTGTAAGTGATATCATTGCTATACTTGTCTTTCTCTGTCTGACTTATTTAGCATAATGTGCTCAAGGTCTATCCATATGGTTACAAAAGAGATCCTCCTTTCTATGGCTAAATAATATTCCTGTGTGTGTGTGTGTGTGTGTGTGTGTGTGTATCACATCTTTTTTATCCATTCATTTATTGATACGCATTTAGGTTGTTTCCATATCTTGGCTATTGTGAATTAACGCTGCAGTAAACATGAGAATGCATGTATCTCTTCGAAATCTGTTTTCATTTCCTTTGGGTATATACCCAGAAGTGAAATTATCAGATCCATGGTAGATCTATTTTTTATTTTTTTGTGGCCCCTCCATATTATTTTCCTTGGTATATAAAGTTTCCCTTTTCACGTCTTCCTTGCGCACATCTCTTGTCTCTTATCTTCTCAGATAGACATTCTAATAGGTATGAGGTGGTGTCTCATTGTGGTTTTGGCTTGTGTTTCTCTGATGATTAGTGATGTTAAGCATTTTTCATGCACCAGCTGCCCATTTTGATGTCCTCTTTGAAAAAATGTCTATTTAGTTTTTCTGCCCTTTTAAAATCAGATTGTTTCTTTCTTATTAAGTTGTATGAGTTCTTTATGTATTTTAGATATTAGCCCCTTATCCAATATATAGTTTGCAGAAGTTTTCTATCATTCTTTAAGTTTTACATTTTGTTGTTTCTTTTGCTGTACAGAAACTTTTGAGTTTGATGTAGTGCATTTGTTGTTTGTGTTTCTGGCATCATATCCAAAAAAACATTTCCAAAACCAATGTTGAGGAGCTTCTTTACTACATTTCCGTCTGTAAGTTTTATGGTATTAGGTCTTATGTTTAAGTCTTTGATACACTTTGAGTGTGAGTTAGGTGTCCAGTTTCATTGTTCTGCTTGTGTTTCTCCAGTTTTCCCAGCACTATTTGTTGAAGAGGCTGTCCTTTCCCCATTGGGTGCTCTTGGCTCCTTGTTGAGTATTAGTTGACTATATACGTTGAAATTTAATTTAGGGCTCTCTATTCTATTCCATTAATCTATGTGTCTACTTTTTTTTTTTGACAGTGTACTACAGTTTTTATTAGTATGGCTTTGTGGTATAGTTTGGAATTGGAAAGCAAGATACTTCCAGATTTATTCTTTTTTTTCAGGATTGCTTTGGCTCTTCCGGAATCTTTCATGGTTCCACAAAAATTTTAGGATTGTTTCTTCTATTTATGTAAAGAATACCTTTGATGTTTTTGTGGATATTGTGTTGAATCTATATATGGCTTTCAGTAGTATGGACATTTTAACAATATTCTTCTGATCCATGAACAAAATTTTAACAAAGGCTTGCAGTTTTCATTGTATAGATCTTTTACTTCCTTGGTTAAATTTATTCCTGAGGTGTTTTTTTTAAATTGTTTTTGATGCTGCTGTGAATGGGATAGTTTTTGTTTTTTTTTTTAATTGAAGATAGTCAGTTACAATGTGTCAGTTTTGGTATACAGCATAATGTCCCAGTCATGCATATATATACATATATTCACTTTCATATTCTTCTTCATTAAAGGTTATTATAAGATATTGAATATAGTTCCCTGTGCTATACAGAAGAATTTTTTTATCTATTCTTATATATAGTGGTTAACATTTGCAAATCTCAAACTCCCAAATATCCCTTCCCATCTGCTTTCTGCTGGTGTTATAAGATTGTTTACTGTGTCTGCGAGTCTGAGTTCCATTATTATGTGTGTTGAAAAGGGTCTTTTTGCATTGAGATAGAGAAGTGTTTTCTTAGCTTCATGCACTTGTATGTACAGTTCTTTCCCCAGGTTTGGGAAATTCTCAGCTATTATTTTGCTAAATAAACTCTGCTCCCTTCTCCCTCTCTTTTGGTATACCCATTATTCTTATGTGGGCTTTTTAAATGGAGTTTGATAACTCTGTAGCATTTCTTCATTTAAAAAAATCTTAGTTTTCTCTCCTCTCCCAGCTGAATTATTTCTAAATTCCTGTCCTCCAGATGGCTTATTCTTTCTTTCATCTGATCTATTCTGTTTCCACTGCTTTCTGTTGCACTCTCTATCTCATTTACTGAGTTCATCAGATCTAGAATTTTTGTTTGGTTCTTTTTACATGTTATTCTCTTTGGCAAAGTGCTCCTTCTGTTCATTAATTTTATTGCTGAGTTCATTGAATTACCTTTCTGAGTTTTCTTGTAGTTTGTTGCATTTCTTCATAACAGCTATTTTGAGTTCTTAATCAGTTAAATTTCAGTATTACATGTCTTTGAGTGGTTGCTTAGAGAATTATGATTTTCTTTTTGTGGTACTGTGTTACCATGATTTTTCATAATGTTTTATGAAATGTGCCTGTGCTGTCACATTTGAAGTAGCGAACACCTTGTTTGGTAAGACTTTGTTTACTTTGATTGTAAATTCAACAGATTGGCAATCAGAAGCCTTTCTTTTGTTCTCCAGAAGGTGGCGCTATAGCATAAATTTTGGGTGTCTCTTACCTGGGT